AGCAGTGACTGTGGTCATGCCATATGACCTGTTTCTCAGTTTCTTTATGTGTAAAGTGAGACAGCTAACATACATGACAGTAGTTTCTTTCCATCTTTTTAAACTCCAAAGAATCCAAGAAAAGTTAATTTCTTCAAAACTTGCATAAGCTTGGAGCTTAGAGCTGATAATAGGGCTTAAAAGAGAATAAGGGTGGGAATCTCTTGAAAGATGGCTTACCGGGCATCCCTTTACTCTAAAGCAAAGTGTAGAAGCAATAATCAGGATATTGGGAAAGGCAATGGCGTGGAGGGATCTGGGAGAATCATGTGGCACTTTAGGACAAGACATAAGTATTTACTTAGAGCAGGAAACTGGACCCAAAATTTCTACTCTATACTAAATCCAGAAGGGCAACCTATTCTATAAAAAGAAGCCTTGGAAATGGCCCCACGCTGACTGAAGTATTGGGCCTTGCTCATTTATCTACAGCAAGCTCCAGACAGGGAGGACTCCATCTTCCGAGAAGATATCTGTCTGCAAACAATTCATTTATCCTTTTCAGAAACAGGAGGTACTAACAAAGCTTAGAGAGCCCTTCTTTTCCATCCCCAAACAAGCATAAATAATCTTTGACATGGGCCAGTTTGATCCTGGATTGTGCATGCACAGATAATGATTTGGGCAGTTTTTCTAGTGATCTTGACTCAACTCTACAATTTTGTAAAAATCAACAAACAAGACACACATCTTAAATAATTTTTTTAAATGACACACATCTCACATATACTAAATCTCAGATTTCATTCACTGCTTTTGGTTTGGGAATATTTATTATAAATAATTAAGTTTAAATATATTCTAACATATGTTCACTATAAAAATTGACATCTGTAAACTACAGGATTTTATATAATGCTTTATGGTGGACAAGTAAACTTTTTAATCACACCAAATTTATCAATACTCTTAAATATAAAATCCTCATGTTAGAATATCACAGTGCACAATGAAGCCAATAAAAAAGAAATTTGAATACATATTTTTTTTCTGTATACATAAACATCTGAGGTACCTAACTTCTGTCTCCTGAAATTGTTGTTTATTTTGCCTCAGTCTTAACCCTTAAAAATAGCAAAAGAATTCTCCATCTTAGAATGTTTATTAAGGTAACAGCAGGAGTCAAGTTAATCTCCTTCACACTCCAAGTTAAACTTTCTTTATTCAGTGTTTAAGATATGTTAAGTGATCTCTTGGAGGGAAAGATGTTTATCTAAAACTTGGGGGTCTCTTGAAGGGCATAAGCCATGGGGGTTGTGATTCAGAGTTCAGACAAATAAGGAGGTTGCCATATTTTTCTGAATCAAAAGGCAGCTCTATTCTAGAGAGTGACCTTGGGAAAGTTTTTTTCATCCTGAGTTGCAGATATACACGATAAATGCCAGCTGCCCTCATTATAAATATCTTGTAAGGTAGGCAAAATGCTGCACTGTAACTCCTGTAGCCAACAGCCAGGAAAAAGAGGGCTTACGTGACCTTTTGAGAATATGATGTTCACCCCAAGGAGCTGAGAGTAATTATAACAGAGAGTTGGCACTTCCCACAGGGGGGATCAATTTACTTTGAGTAGCCTAAAGCTTTTTATCACTTGTTATGGTATTCTTGGTCTTCACAGGGGAGGAGTGGGGAGACCTAGAAATGGGAGGCTGGACATGGAGCAGTAATCTGAGAAGGAAAAACAAAAATAGAGTGGGCAATAAAGGGAAGAAAGAAAGAAGACCGGGCTTTGGGAGGCCCCCTAGCACTTACTGGCAAGGCCTGGGCTCAAAGGCCTCATAGAGGGCAGATGGCTATTTCAGTCCAAGCCCATTATAGAAGTGGAACCTGGTGTTGTCCAGAAGAAGGGTGCAGAAACTGGAGCGACACATCAGTCTGCTTATCATTTTCCTGCTCATGAATCTGCAGTGATGACTCTTACACTTTGGCCTAGGACCCTCTGATGTCCAGCCCTAACTTGGTCCTTCTTATATGAGTGCCAGCTACCTCTCCAACTACATACTCCAGGAAGGCTGCCCTCCCAGCCCAGAGCCACACCCACACTGCCTCTTCCTTATTCTCCCTCCTGTCTTCCTTTGCATGTATCTAAAATACCTCCATCTTCTTAGGTTAAGATCTAATTTATTTCATAAATTTTACCAAGCACTTAGACATGCACTATCACACTGAGCCATGTCTTCTCGAATCTTTGCTTCACTATAGTGACCATGCCCACCTCCTGGAGTATTTGTTCACTAGCCCAACTCTGCAGAATTAAACCCTGGGCATGGAAGGCTGGGGTAAAGTCCATTTTCACCAAGCTCCTCAGAAGCAACTGAAGAGTTAGGGCGACCCAAAGTGTTAGGATTTTGACCATTGGTGTTTATATATTTCCATGTTGTTTGATATGATGTGACCGTAAACATGTACAAAGTTTATAATAAAAATTAGTATGCATATGAAGCTCCCCAGATGATTCTGATGATGTGGGTTGTCAGAGGTCCTTATTCATCATTTGAACAATGATTTAATCATATGCCTTCTTTCATTTATTCTCTCTCCAACAAGGTAGGAAGGTATCCAGAGCAAGAACTGACCCTGAACTTTTCCTCTCTCTCCAGTGCTAGCAACACCAGACTTACAGCAAAGTCTCCCTAAATTATTAGATAGATTCTCGAGAAAATTAGAAAAAAATTATAAGGATACACATGGGATATTTAAAGGAAAAAGAAAACTTAAATCATGTATTAGTAAGACAGAAAAACAAGTGGCTTAAAGGATCACAAGGTGAGCACAAATCACTGGCCTTTTGCTTCAGATATTTGGAGGCATCAATAATCTCGGGTTCCCTCTTTTTAATCTGAATTGTTCTTCAGTTACAAATTGTACAGCTAAGGAAGTAATTTGAATAGTTGGAAAAAGTTAAGAATCCAAATTCTCACACATTGCTAATGGAAATGTAAAATGGTACTCTGTTTTTGCAAAATAGTCTCCACAGTTCCACAAAATGTTAAACAGTTACCATGAGATCCCCCCCCCCAATCTACTTTTAGAATTGAAAACACATGTCCACACAAAACCTACACACAAATGTTCTCAGTAGCATGATTCATAATAGCCAATGGACGACCATGACAACCAATGGATAAACAAAATGTGGTCTGTACAAAAAAAAAAAAAGAAAGAAAGAATATTTGGCCATACAAAGCAATGTTATAACATGGATATATTTTGAAAGCATGCTAAGAAGCCAGATACAAAAGACAAGGTTGTCTGATTCCACTCATACGACATATCCAGAATGGGCAAATCCATGAGACAGAAAGTAGGTTAACAATTGCCAGGGGTTAGGGGAGAGAGGTGGGAAGTGACTATTAGTAAGTATAGGGTTCTGGAACTTGATAGAGTGGTCACACAAATCTGTGAATATACTAAAAAATTAACTAAATTAATACTTTTAAAGGCAAAAATTTATGGTATATAAATTATAATTCAAATAAAACATTTATTAACAACAAAAAAAGAAAAGAATCAAGGAGTAATATGAGTGCAGGGGGAACATGGATATCAGGATACCAAAAAAAAAGAAAGAAAGAAACAGAAAAGGAGTTTTGGAGGTGACTTTTTAAAAATATTTTATCTAGAGACAGGGCCAAGGGCTTAGGGCCTTGCTAAGTTGCTGAGGCTGGCTTTGAACTCGAGATCCTCCTGCCTCAGCCATTCAAGCCACTGGGATTACAGGTGTGTACTATGGCACCTGACAAGGGTGGCTTTTTTGGACATAGTTAGCTTATTAAAGTTTTTTTAAATAAAAATATGATAAGTAGCTGAGGAGAAAATTAGAAGGTGGATTATGAATGCAGCCTAATGGGTTTAGTTCAGATACAAAATTTTCTACCAATAAAAATTAGAATGAGAAGTGTTCACATCTCCCTTTTTGTTGCAGTATTTAGAAGAGGTTTTATCCACACGGAATGAGTTGTGGGAGCCATTCATGAAATGGGAGAAGGATGAATTACAGGATGTTTCATGCTCTTCATTCTTTCTTCTTTCTCAGAAAAATGTGAAGTCCTCAGCGTTCAGCACGGCTCTCCACCCATGTGTTAATCTTGGTGAAGTGAGAGGAGACGATGCTGCTTCTTAAAAAGTTTTATTTGGTGGCTATATGCAATCGTAAATGCACATTCCTCTTACAGCTGTAAAAATGTTTTTCTCTAAATAATTAGCTTTTAATTAAGGGAAAAAAACTTGAAGCAGCACTTGCAACCTATTAATTCAATCATCAGTGTAAAGAAAGGAAATTCGTCTTATGTATAGCTTCACATGTTATTAATATGAATAGAGAACATACTTTGGTAAATATTGTTTGAAACTCTATAACTTATGAATTCAGTTTTATTTGAAAAATAAAGTGCTATCATTCTCACTCATATTTTGCAAGGACAGTACCATCTCTTGGCTTGAGCATCCCGTGGCTTCCCAGGGCTGTACTCTAGAAGGAAACAAATACCCATCTGGGGTCCTCTCATCAGTGTCTTCCTCCCTCTGCACAGGACCCAGATGCCCATGAAGTAAGAAACTGAGAGGCATGATTATAGCAAGGCAGTCTCTTCCTGGCCCTGTAACCAGGTTCCTAACAGAACCTCTCTAGTTTTCCTCTCTGTTCAGCTCAGTAGGGCTTTATTTCATAGCAGTCTATATCAGTATTGGTGCCCTGGGTTTCACAATTGCATTCAACAATATACATTCATTGAATAAAACACAGATATTTAAACATTCCTATTTTTGGTTATCAATACAAACTTTCATTTCCAATATCTTCAAATAAGACTAACTCAATGGCATGCTTATGAAATAATGAGTGGTGGTCCTAGGATAAGATATTGTTAAAATTTGTTCAGAACATTGACTAAAGGGAATCTTTGCGCAGATATGAAGCACTTCACCTCTTCTTCTTCTCAGGAGAAGATCTTGCTCTGCCCCTGCTAAGCAAGGGCATGGTCAAACTGCCCTTTCTCCAGGCCTTCAAGTCCATCAGCCCAGGTAGAGGTCGGCATGCTCCGATATGGGTCCAGAAGAATCCGGAAGCACCTGACAATGAGGATGCCCAAGAAAATAAACAATAAAATCACAAAAACAAATGTTGTTTTCTGCTCCAGAGACATGCTAGATTCTGATGACACGTTCCCAAGGGGCACTAGGGGCGAGGGGATGGGCTGCCCTCCATCCATTGTCCACAGAAAGCCAAGCACAGGATCTCCTGGTTCCCTTCTCTTCCATCATCAGTCTGCTGAGATCATGGTGGCTGCACTCTGGCGAGGCTGAGGTGTCTTCAGGAAGAAGGAAAAGGAAGGAGAGGGAATAACTATCAAATAGCAACTTCATTTTATATATCAACAGTCATGTTTTTCAGAGTATAAATCTGTAAACCAGCTTTCTTTTTCACCAGATATGCTTAATTATGTATAATTATGGGCAAGAATATTTTCCTCTTACATGAAATTACCAGATTGTCCTCAGAATGGCCACCTAAGGTCAGGACAGATGGGCATGGAAGACAACTATAATATCGAAGATGAGAAATGTGAAAATTAATATTGACCTCCGGGTCTTCTGTCAACTTTGTCAACTTGACACCCAAACCCTGCCACCCTGCCAAGAATCCCCTAGCTCCCCCCAGTTATATTACTGTCAAATCTTTCTTATAACAGTTCTATTAAGTGAGCACCAGCTATGTGCTAGGACTGTGGCTAAACTCAACATATATTAGCCACTCTACTACAGCCTCCCTGAAAGCAGAGACTTCTGTTTTCAAGTATAATTTCCAAGTATCAGGAAACAGAGGCAAAAAGAAGTGCTTCATATGGAAACTCTCTCAGGGAGCTTTGTGTTCTAGGTTCTGGGCTCTGGCTTCCATTCCACTGCTACATGAGTTTGGGACCTTGGAGAGGTCACAAAGCTGTAAACATTTAGAAATGCCTCATATCTCATGGTGCTATGATATAAATGAATGACCATGGAAACCCTTTGAAAGGTGTACAAAGAAGAAGAAAAAAGACAACAAAGTCTCCCCTGCACTAAGGCAGCCCTAAGGAATCCACAATGCTTCTCCTTTGCTTTCTGCTGCCTGAGCCAAGGGAGGAGGCATCTCAGACTCCCAAACCATCATGTTACTGCTGCTTTTACTTTCTTCTTCAAAAACAAAGACCAAGTTCAATACTTGACCCTGGGAAGCACCTAGAGAACTGAGCTGGGGAAAAGGATTTAATCGACTGAATATTATTAAAAGGACAGTTTTCTTGGCAGTGGCTTCCTGCATTTAAGTCCATCTGGTAGAAAGAGAGAGAAGGAAAAACTGGAGAAAAAAAAAATGAGGCACTTGGATATTACTAGGTTTTGCATTTTTTGTTTTGTTTTTGTTTGTTTGTTTTGTGTTACTGGGGATTGGACCTGGGATGACACTACCACTGAGCCACATCCCCAGCTTTTTTTTTTTTTTTACTTTTTCTGTTGAAGTGGGGTCTTGCCATATTGCTTAGAGCCTTGCTAAGTTGCCGAAGTGGACCTCAAAACTTGCAATCTTCCTGCCTCAGCCTCCCTAGTCTCTGGAATTACAAGTATGTGCCTGACTTCCTATTTGTTTTTAAAGACAAATAAAACAATAAATGAAAGTCATTAAAAGGTACTGAACTAAATAAACTTAAATTCTGTAAGAAAAAAGCATTCATTTTAGACACTATCATATAGAAAGTCACATGGACATAATTATTATGAATCTGTGAGAAAAATTACATAACAGAGTTAACTATAGAAACTAACATGGGTCCAAAGAAATTATGCTCAAAGAAAGTAAGCAACCAAATAAAGAAAGAAATTATGACCTAAAGAATGAAAACATTTCTTCCATCAACTTAGAATCACTGTCTTCCATACAGCAATAGTAATCACAATTACAGTGTGCATGTAAGTGGACTCTTCAAAGTCTATAGAATCACACTTTAAAAAGCAATTTACCAAAGGGATATCAACCCCTATCTGGGAGAAAGGAGTTGCCAACTAGTGATACTTTTAAGCTTCTTAAGAATGTGGAGGATGGGGCTGGGGTTGTGACTCAGTGGTACAGCGCTTGCCTAACGTGTGAGGCGCTAGGTTCAATCCTCAGCATCATATAAAAATAAATAAAGGTTTAAAAAAATAAATCTTTTTTTTTAAAAAAAAAAGAATGTGGAGGATGTTATAAATGGGGTTTGGTTCAGATTTTCTTGTTTTTAAGCATCCTCCTATCTTTGGGTATTGATTCCCACTGGGCTAGAAAGGAAAGGAGCAGGAAAGGTGGCCAGACCCTCCAATGCAGCTTCCTCAGCATATCAGACCAGGGCCATCTGTAGCCACCAAAAATACTCATGCTGGACTTAATCATTCCAATTATAAGATTCTCCAAAGACTGGCACAAGGGAAAGCCATCTGATAAGGGAGGTGCTCAAGCCTCAGCCATCCCTAACATGTCCCTTCTTGCCTGTTTGTGTCCCATGAAGGTTCACCTCACTTTGACCCTGCTCTCCTTGTTGGTTTACAAGAATCCCATTCTATGTCCATTTTTTTCCTTCATTTCAGAGGAAGTCAGAGACCTTTCCTTTGTCTCTTCTGAACAGAGCTTAGATGGGTATGCATTTCCAGACAGATTTTAAGGGAGAAAAATAAACTACATAATCCAAAAAGGAAATGCAGGAAAAGCAAAGACCATTAACTATATAAATTTATAATATCAGGATTTGGGGATCTGTGGAATCCAGTGAAAATAGGGAAGAGCTGGACAGAGTTCTAGGGCCCGTGAGAATGACCCCAGCCATGAGCTAGCTGACTCACATTGTAATACCTTGTTCAGTCCCTCCTTCCCACCCCTGGTCTCTGTGATCAGAGCCACCCTGACATCCAGGAGCAGTCTTTCCCAGCCTCCTCCTGCACACAGGACAAAATGTCAAACCCTTTTCTCCTAGATCAACTCTCATACTTTCTGGGCTTAGCCCATAGCTCAGGACCTGGAGTCTATACACCACTTGTTTGGGGGCTACAATGATTGGCAAACAATCCAGAGGCCCCAGCAAACCGCCCAATTGTTCTGATTTGGATCATCTGCCACATCTCCCTCTTCAGGTTTCCTCTAGAACGTTCTGGAAATTACTTTCTTCACAGGAATGCCAACTATCAGGATGATTTAAAAATCAGTTTTAATATGCAGTCTTACCACCTTTTGCTTATTAAAAGGCAAGAGATGGTGGGAGGATATGGTTCCATGATAAAACACTTACCTAGCATGAGCAACACCCTGATTCAATCCCAGCACCACATTTTAATTAATTAATCAATTAATTTCAAGAGGTGAAAGTATAGCTAAGCCTTCCTTGCAATCTGACCACATTTTCAGAAGCCTGCTAATAAATACATTCTTTCATCCCTAGCCCCTTCCAGATAAACCAAATTGAGCATTTTGAAAACTCTATAGCACACTGTGAATTGTAAACCTCTCCTCCTTCAGGTATACCACGGTGCTCAAGTTCTCACTAAAATAACTTCTTTTGGTTAAATAATCAAAGCCTCCTATTAAATTGCAGTGTTTTACCAAGGAAAGTGACACATTAACATAATAGCAGGGATTTGTCAGTGAGGACTATGAAATGTGGTAAGTAGGAGACTGGAGAAAGGAAATACAGTAGATAAAAGGAAGATCTTGTTGGGAATGAGGGGCTGCTAGAAAGGAGAAGGATGGGGGAGACATGGGTACCATGAGCAGGTGGCCCAACAGGAGAGACCTGGGGGAAGATGAAAGATGACAGGTAGAAAGAGAGAAATGACCAGGAGCTGGTTAAAGATGGGTAAAAGGATAAAGAGATCCAGAAACAAATGCCACTTCTTCACAATTTTGCTTAGGACTATTTGAAACCCCTGGAAGAGTCTGCTTGATTTTAAACCTATAATCAGCTAGTGAATAATTTACAAATTTAGAAAGCTCAACAACATGTTCAAGTTAAAGGAAGCATCAGATTAAGATTGAGAAAAAGAAATAAATTTAATCACTTGGCTATCACAATATGAAAACATTCAAAGACACATAAATTTAAAAATGTGTCTCAAAGTAAAATGTTTCTCTTTGATAAAAAAAATGATTCTTAGAGAATGTTCATGATTGTTTTTAGCTAAATAATGAAATCTTTCTTTTATATGAACAGTGAAAATAAATCATTTCAAAAAAGATTTTGACATGACCATCATAAGACTTGCTAATAACAAATGGCAGTTATTCTAAAGTATAAAGAAGGACCACAGTTACTCACGGCAGTATTTTAATCTTGACTGGCTTTGCCCATCACGCAGTGCATCTGTGTCTTCCCTTGGCTGGGTCCATTTGTGTGTGCTCAGGAAATAAAGTCTAATTTTAATACTGGACCAAGAAAACCTAAATTAAAAGATCCCATTTAAAAAATCATAAAACACATCTTCTTTTCACAAGTCAAGCTCTGTGGACTCCACAATACAGACAAAGTGTGAAACACCCTGAATTACTCAGGAATCCCCGTGTAAGCAGTTCATCTTTGCCGTAGCCATTCTCTCTCTTAGCCACTTGCTTTAATTTCAGTAATTTCAGTGTGTTCCTCTTCCTTTGCCTGTACTTTCTACATACTGCATCCTGGTCCATTGTCCAAAGCTCAGATCTTACCACTCCTCCTCCAGAAGACCCATGTGCCCCAGTGTCCATAGCCCAATAACCCGCTGTGCACCTGATGCCCTGATGTATCCAGGACCACTGAGCAGACACACTCTTATGGAGTTTTCTAAGATGTTAATCTATTTTCATAAGTTTAAAAAGGAACAAATGTCAAATTACATATGGTGTCCAGTAAAATGACCAAAGTATTGATGAGAATAAATGTATATGTAATTGACTCTGGGGCACCTAAGGAGAAGGGCTTCATCTTGCCCCTTCCCTGGCTCCATCTCACCTGCTGGTCTTCCAACACCTACAGGCTCCCACCTCATAGTGCTCACTGCCTCCTCCTCTTCCCACTTCTGGGGGTCCTCCCCCTCCTTCTGAGTTGTCACCAAATATCCGCTCCTTCGTGGGATCTTATGTATCCCCCTCAGAGAGGATGGGGTGCTCCCTGCTCTGCCTCCAGAGATTTCCTACACTCGGGCAGCATTGATCAGTGACAAGTCTAGATGAGTTGTCACTTCC